GGGGGGGGGGGGGGGGGGGGAAACCTCCGAAGGAGCTTGCAAAGACTTGTCATCATCAACATCGTCATCGTCGCCATCACAATTTTCATCATCAGAAGCAGCTAAAGCATCAGCATCAGCAGNNCAGCATCATCATCGTCATCGTCATCAGCATCATCAACATCATCATCATCATCATCATCATCATCATCATCGTCATCATCATCATCATCATTATCGCCATCACAATCTTCATCATCATCAGCAGCAGCTAAAGCATCAGCATCAGCAGCATCATCATCGTCATCGTCATCGTCATCACCAGCATCATCATCATCATCATCATCATCGCCATCATAATTATCATCAGCAGCAGCAGCTAAAGCATCATCATCATCATCATCACCGCCATCATAATTATCATCATCAGCATTAACCTCATCATCCTTACCATCGTCATCATCATCCTCATCATCACCATCTTCGGCAGCAGCATCATCACGACCGTCACGGAGGCCAAGCGTTGGTATGAGCCATGCCGCGGAACCTGCAAGCTTCCCACACACGTCCGGGGTGTGGTTTCTACCCCCCGTACCCCTGAAGCGTAAATCCTTCTGAGCCCTCTGGGATTTCCCAGATCTCCCATTCTCGAGGCAAGACCGCACTGAGAGACTCCAAAACCCTTTAGCCAGGGAATATCTACTTTAAATCATACTCAGGATCCTTCTATAAATTGTCGCGCAGGGCGTATTCTCCCTGCGCCAAATAATAACCCTTGAACCAGGCAGCTCAGACGCTCTTGTCAGGCTTCGTCCGGAAAGACCTTGGAGGTCATCGTGAAAGATATCTCAGTGGAGAAGGGCAGCGCTTTGGCTGAGAAGCCCGATAATCGGGTGACGGGTGTCCGATTCCGAAGGATCTGTCTACAATGGTTCGATGCTTTTTGCATCGAAGCGATACGCACTTGGTTGTTTGTACCACGTTGTTGGGTGAAAGGGCCATGCATGAAGTTTAGACCTAAGACATCTTCCACCGGGCTCGTTTCGTCATGTTTCGATGTGGTTCAGACATCGCGGCTTCTGTGCCAGGTGTGAAGATCGTGTTTGCGGACAACGAAAAGATTTGGAAGACCATCCCTATCAGCACCATCACCAGTAAGGACTTTGAGAGTCGTTGAACAGAGCGAAACTTTCGAATTCTTCTGCAACCACCCCGCTTTTCTTGGTATGGCATTCCAAAGACTGGTGGTCTAGCATCCCGAATTCAACCCCCGCCCCGAGATCTTTCGCGTCGCCATAAGCAACTGACTCTGTCCAAACCCTTAACGCTGAGCCTTTGGTGCGCTATTTGTCTGACCTGGCGACCGCTCGATCCATCCATCGATCTATCTCTCCGTTTGACTACTTTGTCTATCTGCCCATCGATCTGTCCATGTGTCGATCTATCTACCTACCTAAATACCTACTTGCCTATCTGTCTATCTATCTAACCTATCTATCTATCTGTCTATTTCTGTCTATCCATCTATCCATCTGTGATTCTATCTGTATGTATATTATATATATATATATACAAAACTGTCTATCCATCTGTGACTCTATATATATATACACATACACATACCTTTGCACATTTATTAATCTGCCTGTTTGTGTGCATTCTTATATTTGTAGTGCTCCTCTGCTTCCGGCATTGTGTGATTATTCCCGAAAGAACCTTGCGCTTCCCCGCTCGCAGGATAATCCTTTGCTTGGCCA